AGAAGAAGAAGAAGAAGAAGAAGAAGAAGAAGAAGAAGAAGAAGAAGAAGAAGAAGAAGAAGAAGAAGAAGAAGAAGAAGAAGAAGAAGGCTTTGCTGTATCTACAAGAAATGAAAACGTGAGCTTGAACTCAAACCCTTCACCTTGATGATGGATCCAGATTTACTGGAGGGATTGAAGAGTTTGAAGCTGGCATCGATGCGGTTTGGGCACGATGGCAATTGGAAGCCGGAGTTGGTGAAGGGGGATAAGTAAGAAGTGTCGAAACACTCACAGCCATTAGGGAGATCATCGCTGGTACAGCAGCGACGGAAAAAGTGGAAAAATCCTGAGGAAAAACGAGTCAGGTTACACATTTGCATTGGAATGGACTCGGCACAAAACACAGATTTATGTCAGTTGACCCTTCACTACTGACCCTGCTATCATAGAACATAAATTATCATCTGTCACAAAGCAATCAAAGTGTTGAAACGAAAACATTTTTTTCTTTTCAGCAGAGAACAGTATCGTGACAAAAATTTGATCATTTAGTGCAAGTAGATAGAGCATATCAACACAATAATGGTCTTGCAGTGCTGTAGAAAAAAGTATATTGACATTATAACAGTCTTCATTTAGTATGAACTTAGACAAGAGCACATCGACACCATAACGGCTATTCGTAGCAAAGTGGAGTACATCGTCTCAATTGTTATTTATTTCATTAGATTTTCGAAGAAGAAAATGTATCAAGAACGTTAAAAAAATATTTCTGCAGTGTTTTATGTTGTTTAAGTTGATTGGGTTTCGATATTGAATATTCGCCAATACCAAAAGCTGTTCATTTTATGAGGCTGCGATGTCACACATATTATATCGTCGGTCCAATTTCCAACTGTTCTAAGCGAGGAAACCAAAAATTTTCAGGAGAGAGAGAGAGAGAGAAAAAAAATTGTTTCAGCTTTCAACAACAGTACTTACATTAAGTATTTTTTCCCTTTTTTTTTTTTTTTTTTAACGAAATGCAGAATTTGAATTTTGACCAAATATTTCTAGGGCGCATCCTACCAATTCCCTGGTTTAAGAAACTGCTTTTTTTTAAAATACCAAGGTTTTATGTTAAGTGCATCTGATCAGCTGGTTGACAATATCAGAAGCACAACATGGAAAATTTAAACATGTTGAATCTTGGTCAAACCTCAGTTTTAAAAATTTTCAAGGTTCACAGCTGGCTCGGGATTGCAGGTGACCAAATCATGAGAAGATTGAACATGTCACAAGTGACGGATTATTTACACACGAGCAGTTAAATACAAAGCAATTGAGAACAATAGCACCCGGCCAGCAACATTAATGTTATTGTCATGGATAAATAAATTCACAGAATTGTCGGTCACAGTTGTCTGGTTGATGCGCCGTTTTAGAATTTTCGAGCTATCTGGAAAATGGCTTTACGGTCAGCTTTTGACAGTTAAATTTTCAAAAGTGTTTGGCTATGGTGTTTGTTCTTTTTAAAAAGAGAGGCCCAGACCATTAAGAAATTAACAACGACCAGTCACCACAGTAGCCAAAGAGTAGTCAGAACACTTCCCTAACATTTTAATATTATCGTCTTTCAAGCTCTGTTTGGAACAAACGTTCAGCATACTTTGATATTTTGTTTCGACACTCATATGACCTAATTGTGTTGCAAGTCTTAGTATGGTAAAACGCTTACTATATATATAACAAAACAAAAAAGATGTTGAACACTGTCGGTGGAAGAAGACAGCCCTGGCAAATTCCCACTGATGAGCGAAACCAGTCGCCCACTGCGGCTTGTACAAGAGGCTACCTCAGAATTACAAAGTTCCATCTGCACAGTACCTAGTTTTGAGAAAATCGAAGTTTAAAATTTTGAGTTTCACAACATGGTCAAGCTTTTTCGAATGTACCCATTTTCTCAATTGTTTAGGTAGCATAATGCAACTTGAGTTGTAACAGGTGGTTTTAAGTCATGATAACTGTGATTGTTTCCAGATATAGAGTACTAACTGGGTACACGTTCGATGAACGTACTTAAAATAATCGTCGATCATCAAGTCATTGTGGAAATAGTGCGCACAGCTTGTGAACGGAAACCTCACTTGTTTACAATGGCGTATTAGAAGACGGACTTTCCCAAGAATAGATCTAAACGAAACTAATTTAAAAAACTGGAAAATTTAAACTACAGTGACTTCAGGCTCCTCAATAAAACTGTACACCTTTTAAATGATTCTGAACCACCATTAGTTTTATCAAATTCGAAACTTAAGTGGTTCGGAAGTTTTAGGCGGCCAAAGTGACGGATTTTCACAAATATAGTAATTATGTAGAGATTCCGTTTTCAGATAGAATTTGGTAATTTTCAAACAAAACCTGCTACGCTCAAAATTACATAGATCTATCTGCCAAATCTAGAATCTCTGGCTTTTGCCCCAAGAATAAGTAATTTGAAATATCAATTGTAACTTTATATGGGTTAGGGGTAGGGGTAAGAGTAGGGGTAAGGGGAGGATTGTAGGATTGTAGGATAGCAGGGTAGTATAGTAATCGTTGGGGCCAAAACCGGATAATCAAAAAAAAATCGCTTATTTTATAATGTATGTGTACTTTGGTACTGTCTTCTCTTGTTTTACTATTTAGTTAGCAATTTTCTCTCTAGTTTTACCTCTGACAGCAGATAACCCCCACCTTCTTCAATCGCCAATATCTCGACTTCGATTTAAGACAGATGCGTGCTGTTTCACCAACCGCAAGGTAAATAAACAAACTTTAAGAAGACAACAATAAAACTTTACATGACCCAATACTGACGAGCGCCTTATTCAAACGTATCGTAACACAATTCTTCTATTGCAGATAGATCTTTGTAATTCTGACAAGATCTTGCGATATTCAGATAGAACAATGTAATTTTGAGGATATCTTGATAACGACACCGAATTATCTTACAAATTTTAAAGAACAGACGGAACATTTGGTTTCTGACCTCATGGTCCTAATAACTCAAAACGAAAAAAGGGTTCGAAAACAACTTTGTAATTTTGAGGTAGCAAAGTACTGCCTTGTTAGTTTTTGTGTACAGCTGTCTGATAGTGTTGATCAGTTTTTGGTCAATTATTTGTTTGTTCATTGTGGCTCATAATGCATCATGCAACACCCTGGCGAACGTGTTTGTTTTTTAAATCAATAAAGACCTGGTAGACATCTTGTTGGTACAGACTGCAGTGGCGGTGGGTGGACCAAAATTTGGGTGGGGCTTAGGTTTCTTCCAGTTTTTTACCACCATATAGCAAGCAAAAAGAATTAAACAGTGATGATTTTTCTATACTCACGGTGAGCCACGGCAGTTTGAGAACCATTCAAACGAGAAGAGTTGCCTTTGTTTTCAATCTCTTTGTTCTTAGTTAAATTCTTGTTGATGGTGGGGACGAAGCCGGTTCACCTCCAAATTTCCTCTAATTAGTTTTCATGTGATGAAAAAGTTATAACTGTTAAATTTCAGCAGCACAAACACAAAAATGCACACACAGCACTTCAAACATAATACTTCTATGAGCTGGATTAGGCCGTGTAGTCGAGAAAGTTGAATGCACCCAACATGCAAAAAAAACCAAATGAACACATAGGTATCTGTGTCAGTGGGAGAAAGTGTGTCGTAAACTTTCACCCCTTTGTCAGGGCTAGGAGAGCGTGAGCCCTCGGTACAGTGTTATTTTTTCCCCCAGTTTTCTACCTGTTTACAAGAAGAGTTTCATTAAGGACGGGCTGTGGGAAAAGGGCTCATCTTTGCTGAGCCCTAAAGACATTTGATTTGCTGCTGGGTTACTATAGTTGTAAGCGGGAACAACAGTGATTGGATAAGCGAGCAAGCCGCCAGGTTGATCACTCTGTGTTCATTGCGTGTGGTCATAACGGTTTCAACTGCTTATTTCTTTCTGGAGAAACTTTCATTTACTTTGGGATAGAGTTGGGGATGGTGGTTGGGGAGGGGGGAGGGGCTCACTAATTTGATCTTCTTAAATAGCAAATATATCGATTACTATTTTAGATCGGTGAGTACTTTCTCATCCAAAACAAGACAAATTTTTAATGAACTTTGTTTAAAAGAATACCATGCGAATACCACACTATGCCGAAAAATGGACGAGCGCCTGATCTCACCGTGTCATGGCACGTTAAAAAAAACTATGACTATGTCGTCTTCTTTAGGATCAATGGTGTTTAGTTAGGGGTTTATTCTAGTTCTTTTTTTTAAAGCTAGGTGTGTGCGGGTGGGAGTGGGGATGGGGGTAATGTGTATTGCTTTTTTTAAAACTTTACAAACTGCATACTAGTTGTATCCTTTACTTCTTTCACTATTTTACGGTTTTCCTTTCACTTGTTTATTATACAAGCTGTTTCCAACAAGGATACGATCCAAGAGAGTAACCCATTTTTATAATTCAAAATACCACAAAAGACATTGATGTATCTAATTCTTGGGGACATAGTAATAGAAAGAGGAAAAGACAAAGAGGAGGGCAACGACATGAATCCTGTAAAAATTTAAAAGATAGTCGAGAATGTTTGGACAAAAGTGTCTTTTGCCAAAGTAACAAAATCGAGAAATTACTTTCCTCGTCTTAAGCCAAAGTTACAAAGTGAAGAAATTACTTTCCTCGTCTTTAGCCAAAGTAACAAAGTGAAGAGATTACTTTCCTGGTCTTTAGCCAAAGTAACAAAGTGAAGACATTACTTTCCTCGTCTTTAGCCCAAGTAACAAAGTGAAGAGATTACTCACCATCATTGCCTGGGCAGTCTAAAAAGTCGTCGAGAGACAACACAAGACCAAAGAGGAAAAAGGAAAGTGCTAGAATAGTTGTTAGTCTTGACATGTTTCCTTTTTTCCCGTCCCTGGCCACTGGTCTGTACTAACGACTGACAAATTGATAATGGCTAGGGGCTGCTGGTCACCCACATCCGATGTATGGGTCGAGCCTGGGTGGTATTTATACCTGGACTAATGATGTACATGGTAACTACTTCCGTGAAATAATTATCGATCCGACACGAAATAGCAGGAAGGGGCTTAATAGAAACGATAATAGCATGTTTTGGGCTTATATTCTCCATCACTAGGCGTAAATAAATATCATTGCAAATGTTCTGTGTCATGTTCAACACAATTCAGATAATGATTAAGTTGACTGACTGCTTCAGCACTGCATGTCAGAACCAGTCCGGGCTGAAAGAAGCTCACTAGAGAGATGGAGAGAGAGAGAGAGAGAGAGAGAGAGAGAGAGAGAGAGAGAGAGAGAGAGAGAGAGAGAGAGAGAGAAAGAGAGAGAGGGGGAGAGAGGGGGACGAGAGAGAGAAAGAGAAAGACAGAGAGACAGGGAGAGAGAGACAATGACAGAGACAGAGAGAGGGGGAAAGAGAAAGAGAGAGAGGGAGAGAGAGACACGGACAGAGAGAGAAGGGAGAACGGGGAGAGAGAGGGGGGAGAGGGAGAGATTGAGGAGAGACAGAGTCAGAGAGAGAGAGAGAGAGAGAGAGAGATCCTAGATAAAGAAACTTCCTCACTGTGAGAATCGTAATCATGTCTTCTGAGTGCAATACTGCAGAGCCTAACCAATATACCACAGACACCAGTGTAATAAAAGTTAATCTCAAACATAAATTTGTCGCAAAGTGGTGAAATAAGACGATTGGCAAAATAATGAAATCGAAGAAACCGACACTTTCCACTCGTTGGATAATTTTCATTGAATTTATGTTTTTGGGCTCAGCATCTTTAATATCCATTTAAAGACACATGGCTGTATGGATTTTACTGAAATGGGTTGATCAAAGGTACGAAAGAAATTTAAACTTGTAGATCTAGTTCTCAAAGGCCTTGCAGGTTTGAAATCCACCAGACTCTAGCTGTGACCATTTTCTCACTTATTTTTACCTCTGACACCAGGCGACGCCCACCTCTTTCACTCACAAATATCTCGACTTCTATTCAAGATAGATGGGTAATTTTTTCCCCAAAAGAAAGGCAAATGAAGTACATTTTATGGCAATATCAATAACTCCGAACGGAAGCACAGAGAGCAATAGAAGGAGAAGGAGAGAGAGAGAGAGAGAGAGAGAGAGAGAGAGAGAGAGAGATGGATATATTAATATAGAGAAAGGGAAAGGGCAAGAGAGAATCAATGACAGTTACAGTAGCCAAGAAGGATAAAGACAGGAATATCATTTTTTTTAAAATAGTTTTCTATGCACATAAATATTTAATAAGAATGACGTAAAGTTTTGGGAGTAAAAAATCCGAACTTTTATTCTTCTATTTCACACATTTCTGAACAAAATCCCGTCATCCAGATTGAGAGAGAGAGAGAGAGAGAGAGAGAGAGAGAGAGAGAGAGAGAGAGAGAGAAACTTTTATTTCACTCAACGTTTCTAAAAACAATCTTATCAACCTATAAACACAACAACAACAACAACAACAACAACAACAACAACAACAACAACAGCAAACTGTCCTGATCGAAGGGACGCTACCCAGTGGTAAACGTCAACAGAAAGGTGGAGTTCCTGTGGTGACTGGCCAGTGATCTCCCTTACACTCGGGGCTTGTGCCGAATCCCATCACGCAGGCAGTGCCACCTGCAGGGGAGGAAGAGTCACGCAGAAACAGTTAAGAGAGAGAGAGGTTGAGTTGATGATAAACTAAGCATGCTAAGTCTTTTGTTGTTCATATGCAACACAGAGCGATTTTTAAAAAACTTATAAACCAAAGAAAGTATAAGAAAGTATAGATCTATTGTAAGTTGAAAAGAAATTTACAAAATATTATATTTTTTATTATGTTTCAATATGTATAATAATTATAAAAATGCACACATCCATGTTTATTTTCAATCTCAGGTGGACGCGGAGGAAAAAAAGCCATCAGTGACGTTGAAAAAATCTTTCTCTTTCTTTTAAAACGTTGAAAAAAATATATAGCTCGAAAAGACAAATCAGAATTGTCATATCATTATTATATTCAAAATCTCAGGACTCAAAGTAAATGGAGTCAAAAGTTATTCACTAAAATAATCTATGACAATTTTGTGTTATACGAGCTATAGAGAGTGTATACAACTGGAGAATTTTTAAGGCGCACGGAAAGTTGGGGGTGGGGGGGGGATATCCGGTACTGGCCAAGTCCCAATATACAAACATTATAAGGCTATTGATTCTATTTTATGAGATGATATCACGAAGTAAACGCATCTTCATAGCCTCGGTAGCGCAGTAGGTAGCGCGTCAGTCTCATAATCACACACATTCCAGAGCAATCTGAAGGTCGTGAGTTCGATCCTCACCCGGGGCATTTTTTTTTAAGAAGAAGTGTTATTCTCTCCCCTCCTTCCGCACTTTCTTTTATTACTTTTTTAAACAACCATAAGAATGAGCACATAATATTATGACCACGAGAGCTGGCTTGTGTGTGCTTTCTATGATGTAAGCCAGTGCCAGTGCCCTTAAACACTGATTTAAAATCGGAGTCTGTGGTGAAGCCGTTCGGCGTTTCGCTCGCCCACGCAAGAGACCCTAGTTTGATTCCCGAGTGGGGGGACTTTATCGAGTATCACGGTCCTTCTGCTGAAACGGTGTATCCCTCACAGCAGAGGTTGGCCCTGACAGGCAGGGTCGTCGAAGCCCCACGATTCCTGAATGATCTAAACGGTGTTGATGGGG